TATATATATATATAATTGCACAAAACTTGAATAATTATATATATATAACACATACTTGCGTATATATGTTTTACATATATATTTGCCAAGTTAATGGCTCAATATATATATATAATTATTCAAGTTTTATACTTTATGTATAGTATAAAAAGCTATACATATAATATACATATATATATATGTATATTATATATATATATATATATATATATATACATATATATATATCCTTTAGTTAAGTTCTCAAGACGCACTTTCTATTCTCATTACCTCAACAAAATCGGTAGAGTTAAAAACAAAAAAAAGATACACGATACTTTCCCAACGAACCGCAGCTTCTATCATTTCCTGCCGTTATTCTTTATCGTCTTGAGTCGTTGGACAGGGTTAACGTCCGCCTCTTTGCGGGCCAAGAAGTCGGGGATTGGGTCGACGAGCATGTCCTGAACTTACGACCCAGATCTAACCGATCTGCTGTTTCGCAGAAGGAAAAAGTAGCTGGGAAGATGGTGCTTGTGGAAGACGTGCTATCGTCTGGAATCCACATCGGTTGTGTATGTAATATGTATCGCAATGGGTGGAAACCAGACAACAACTGGCAACGGCCGTTTAATTAAGTCATGGGAATAAGCGCACGGCGAGCTGATTTTTATGTATATTCTTGTTATTCATCATAAAAAAAAAAAAAAAACATACAACCGTCTCATTCGCCTCGAGGCGCTCGCTTTGTCTCTCGCCCAAATATGGAAGAGAACTAGAAAGAGAGACAGAGAGAGAGAGAGAGATAGATAGAGCGAGTAACGTTCTCGCCGCACCGACGTCGTTCAGACTGGTCTGTAGTAGAACGCGCGGGAGAAATTCGCAAAAGGAAAATCGCGAGAGAAGAGGCGATCCCCGCGGGGAAGATCCCCGGACGGAAGAGTACCCAGAGCTTATACCGCGCGCGATGGTCACTTGGGTGAGCGCGCGCGTGCCGCACGACTTTTTGCTCGCGCCGGAGCTCTGCTCTGCTCTACAAAACGAGCGGTTAGCTGCTCGAGCCTGGGAGAGCGGCGGAAAAAGGGAAATCATCAATATATACCGAAGGAGCAAAGAAACAAAGTCTGTAAATACGTGTTCTCTTAACAAGAATCTACAGCAGTAATCTCCATTACACGATCTATATTGCCGCGTCCTCTTCCGGCAAGAGATCTCTCTCTCTCTCTCTCTCTCTCGTATCTCTCACGCAGGAAAATAACGACCAATCTGGTGGTGTTATGGGCAATTTCGCAAAACACACATCGCGGCACGAGTGATTTCATTTTAAAATGTCGTCGCGTCGTTACGAAACAGGAGTCACCTTATCTCGATATTGCACAAATCACGCAGCCGCTGCTGGTGCAATTACGGTATATTATCGTCGATTCACTTTCATAGAGTCGACAAGCGCGCGTGGCTGTTTTTTTTTTTTTTTTTTATTATTATATTATATTCAATTAAGCGTAACCGCGTCGCGTCGCGTGAGGGGGAGGGATGGAAAAGTAAACCAGTCTTGATATTGTATTTATCGAAAGAAAAACTTGTACCGCGCGAGAAAGGTGCAATTAATGCGAAAAACGCGGGGAGGGATATAGGGAGGCTGTCAATCGCAACAAAGTTCAAAATTGATCGGCGATTTGCAGTCGGAGTATCATTAAGTTTCACGCACACACACACACACACGTGCACACACGTCGCGCACGTAATAATCGTCTTGTATCATGTGAACAATTATTTCCGAGGAATCGTGTCATCGTTCCCCTGTACTTTCGTCTACTCGATTAACGTTTTCTCCGTTTATTAAACTGGGTTAAAAACGAAGTAAATACGACAAAATCATACGCCTGTAAACATTAATCCGGAGATGTCTGTCATTTTTTTATTACCGTTATTATTATTATTATTGTTTTTGTTATTATTATTATTATTATTATTTGGCGCCGCAATTATTGTTATTAAAGTCGCGCGGTAATCGGTTTTTGATCGAGCGTTGCGTGAAATCTTCTTATCAGATTCGTGCGATTTTCATAGAGAAGTTATCATCACGTGCGAGGTGTCCCAGATCACCATCGCCTTTCCCTTTATAATGGGACCGACCCGAGATTGCGAGCAAATTAACTTAGAGAAGAATCGCGCTCGTGCGAAGAGTGTGAAGTTGCATATGTGATATTACAATCTGCGTAATACACCTGCAATTATTACGTTACAACGAAGTACAACGAACCGTTGCGCTTTTCCCAGGAATCGTTTTAACGGAAGTTTTTCCGAGGAACGCGAGATGTTTTTCTTTCTTCGTAACAGGTTGATAACCGGGACAATTTCCTAAGCGCCGTGAACGCGCGCCGATTCCTAATTGTGAGACAAACGTATATCATAAAAGGCGAACGATTACGAAAGCGCGCAGGGTTAACGGTACGTCACCGCGGGGTTATCGACTACTATAAGGAGACCCGACTGTGCAACGGGATTCCCTACGCGAGCGAAGCGCTTCTTTTGCGCTCTTTTTCAGCGACGCGGGCGTGACGACATTTTCCCGCGAGAAAATTCAACGATTTGCCGATGCGCATCTCGTCGTCGCGGAGGATCCAGACTCGCGATCGCCGGAGGTCTCTCTCTCTCTCTCTCTCTTTTTCTCTTGTCGCCGGGTCCTTAACACAATTCCGTCGCGCGAAGTGTAACGGGAGCGTCATTAGGAGCACGGGCACGCGATTCATTGATCATTTCGACACGCCATCGATCGCTGTCCTTGGAAAGCGAAACGCTCTCACAGTCTTCTCTCGGATCGCGGGCGGCGCGCCGCCGGTTTTTTAGGCCGTTAAATTCACCGCTCCGATCTCTTGCGAAAACGCGATAAACAACTGCAAAAAAGACACACGATAGGTGTTTCGTAAAAGCGTTCTTTGATAATCTTCCACCGCAATCTCTCCTCTCTCTCTCTCTTTCTCTTTACGTGACTTGAGTACA